ATAGCGAAAAGCAATCAAGATTTGGAGAAAACTCTCACAATTTCATTAATTTTAAATCAAATTTCAACCAAGAAAACGAGAATGCGTTAAAAGAATATTTTTATAAGGTAAAGCGATAAATTAAAGGAAATAAAAGATTGGATATCATTGTCCTCCGATTGCATTGTGCTTTCATCCAAAGCCTTGTCGTAGCGATAGTCTAAGCCACTGTTTGACAACCATTTTGATATCATTCGTGAGATGAGGCCTACAAGTAAATCAAAAGTCATATTAAAACACATGAACGGAAGAAATCATCTTTGAATCAATCTAAGTCTTATTTATTATGTCTCATGTACCTCCCATGTTAGTAGGATAAGTTAGATTTTTTTTCCATCATTTTGATTCTCGTTTCTTGGAGGTCAGGTATCGCCTATGCTCTTAATTAAGAAACTAATAGGTAATAATGTATGAAGTGAGGTGATTAATCGAGTTAATTATTTCAATAATCACCAAACTTATACTATGATCACGGTTTACTCACTAAGTTTCAAAGTGTTTTACAATGCTCACTGAGTTTTGTCCGTTTACATTCTATCCATCACCCTAAAAAAATTGTTACCTTATTTGCTAACGTGGCTAAGGAAAAGCTCACGTGGTAAGTGATGACAGTTAAAAAAATTACAAATCAACAAAACTATCATTTCATTACTCATCCAATTTATACTTGGTCACAGTTTACTCATCAAATTTCAAAATACTTCACAATGATCCCTTATCTTTGAGATGTTGTATCCATCCATCATCCATGTTCCCTATGTTGCTAATATATCGCACGAAAATCCCATGTGACAAGTTAAATTGTTTAAAAAATGTAAGGAAACTAAACCATCAACTCATCAAAGTTACTATATATGAAACCCGACTTTCACGGCTCCATAAACTTCTTTAAAACCCAATAAAGCGTCCCCAATTTCAGCCTTAAAAAACCCTAGCCTCCAATTTATTTATTTCATCCACATACAACTAAATTGTGTAATAATAAAGAGCTGATTGTTGAGAAGGATGCGAGAAGCTACTACTTATAAACTTTATCGCCCAATTGTACCATCCACTTCACGTCTCTCTCATCACAATCTTCCATTTTCTCAAACGCATATCCAACTATTTAAGGAAGAAAATGTTGTATAGTTGGAATACCTATGGACTGTGTTCGTGTTTGTTGTTCTTCGTTCATCAATTTTATCGGAGCTCGATAACATTTCCTTCCCTAAATAGTTAGATACAAGCTTGAAAAAATTGAGATTACAGAAATGTCGAGCAGATAATACAATTGGGGGATAGAGCTTTATATGTAGTAGCTTCTCTCATCCTTCTTAAAAATCGGCTGTCTTATTACACAATCTACTTGTCCATAGTTGAGATGAGTGATTTGGGGCTATGATTTTGGTGAGTTTATGATTTGACTGAGTTGCAATTTTTTTAATGCTTGTAATTTATCACATGGAATTGCCGTGGGATACATTAGCAACAAAGGGAATGGAATATGACGGATGATGGATGAAATGCAACATTTTAAAGATGAGTAATCATTGGGAAGTATTTTGATGTTTTATGAGTAAACTGTAACTAAATGTAAGTTTGATGAGTAATGAAACAATAGTTTGATTGAATTATAATTTTTTTAACGACCGTAACTTACCCAAGAAATTTCCTTTAGCTACATCAACGAATAACGTAACGAATTTTTGAGGGTAAAGGATGGAGTGCAAACTAATCAAGTTTGGTGAGTATTGTGAAGCACTTTGAAGTTTAGTGAGTAACCCGTGATCATTGTGTCAACGTGATTGAAGGGAAAATTATGAGTAGCTGAATTATAGGAAGATAAGTTTAGATAGATTCTTAAATTACTCCTTAATGTAATCCATTATTTTAGGAATATGTAATCAATTTATATCTTGTAAT